TTGGTATTTATATATGTTTAGTTAAAACTGTGATTGAAATTAACATTGAACAAAAAGTATCTTAATATATTTGGTTAAGAATACTTTTGAAATTGAGATTATAAATAATTTAATATCTATATATATATATAGACATACATATTTATATTAATGATTTTTAATTTAAATATTATAGATTTAACTATTGTTATTATATTATAAAATAAAAAATATTTTATAAAAATATTTTTTATTGTTCCATTAAACTATATACAATTCAATCACGTATAAAATACATCCAACAAAGACTAGGGTTTTCTTGGTTTTTTAAGCACGCAACAACATCATATAAAATATAATTAGGAACAAAATTAAGATTGCAATCAAATTCTACAAATATTATATCATCAAACGATCTTTGTCTAATTTATATAATGTCATTGAATAATATTTTAAACTATTTTTTAAAATAAAATATAATTAAAAATAAAAAAATATTTTTTATTTTACTGGGTTATATCCAGTTCAATACATTTTTAGTTATAAATCAAATCTAATCTGGCTAAATAAACAGTAAAACATGGCTACACTGTTTGTATGATTTATTGTTTCTTGTGATTCGCTTCAAGAAAAGAAGCAACTACAAAAACAAACATTCAAAGAAAACAAATAACAAATAGGGTATGCATTTAAAAAAGCACTAAAGTTTGCTAAGATGATTAATCATTTAAGGAATTACAATGAAACTATAACAATTCATAAGAGTTAAATCATATTACACGATTGAAAAAAACTATTTATTAATTCATTATGTAATAAATTATAAAGATTTATAATAAGAAACTATATAAATTTAGAATCCATCAATAGTAATAAATTTATAAATTTCTTAACTACGAAAATAATTCAAAATTTGTCACACAAGGAAATGGATAACCTAAAACTAATAAGATTTTGCATTCATTATTTTAACATAAACTTTTAAATTATCATTTGTTTTTGTAGTCTAACAAATGATGATAATAATAAAAAAAATTATAAAAATAAAAATTAAATTAACCAAATAAAAATTAGATCATTTGATTTATAGTCAATAAAACACAAGTATTTGTTATATATCATGTAGAGCTTATCCAAAACCTTATTAGATATGGGTTAAAAATTAATATTATTTTATAATTTTTTCATTAATCATATCAATTAATATGAGCATAACAAATGATTTGTTCACTTTCACTGTATCCCTTTCTCTTTTATCTTTGCTTTTATCTTGATGGTCAAGCTTTAATGGTTAACAAATGCATTTTGTTTTCTTCCCAAAAAAAAAAAACTTTAACCCAAACATCAAATATTAGAACAGATCTGACATTAACAGAAAATAAAAAATAAAAAATCGTGTTGTTGATGTAATTTTAGTGACCATAGGATATGGATTTATTAATTAACAAAACTTGGCATTGAAGAAGAAAAAATCCCAAAGAAAATGTGCATGTTTGAGAGAGAAAAAGGAGAAAGAGGGAAATTGGAAGATGAACATCAACGTTTCTTAATTACAAACAAATATGAAAATAATTATAAATGGATTTCAAAAAATAAAAATCATTCAGAATTATTATTATTATTATTATTAAAAGAAACTAAGAGGAGTAGAGAAAATATTGTGGCAATGTTTACTATAACTCTACATTCATTGGCATTGTAGATTATAACAATAAAATTATAAATTTGCTCTTATGAATAATAAAAAAAAACATTGATATACATTATAGGAATAATAAGATATTTTGATTGTTTTATTACACAATAAAATCTTGAATACCCTTTTAAAAAAATATATTGAAGAACCATCAACCATGCTATTTTTATTTTTTCTTAAAATAACTACATTGCCTTCGCATTCAAATTATTTTTAACTTATGTCAAAGGATTTTTTAAAAATTTTAAATTTTAATTTTTTTATTATTAGCGAGTTTGATTATGAAAAATTTAATATTTTAATAAATATAAAATATTATTTAGTATTAAAAAATAGAAAATCCATGTTGTTCATCCGTGCATTGTTATATAACAAATAAATACCAACTTTTATGGTGATATTTGAATTTTAATGGCACCGCTTTCATATTTACATAATGTATATAACCAACAAACCCTAGTCTGATATTAACATTCTTTTCTTTTATTCTCATCTTCTCTCTTTACTTGTTTGGCCATATAAATTTTTAGTATGATCTTTAATTTTTTTTAGATTTAGTTTATTTTATTTTCATTTTCATTATTTTTGTTTTTAATTATTTTTCATTTAATTTATTTTAAAATTTTATTATTTAAAATTTTATTTTATTTTATATCAAAGTTAGATTTTATTTTTTATTTTACAATCTTCATGCTATCATGATTTTATTTATTTATTTATTATGAAATAATTTTAATTTTAGAACTCTTTTTTTAGTTTCTTTTTTACTATTAATGTTTTTTATTTCACTTTTATGGGTTATTAAGATATTATATATCAGGTCATAGATTTTACAAGTTAAATTAAATTAATTTTATTTTATTTGATATATATGTTGTAGTTGTTTTTTTTTAAGAAATATTAAATTAAATAAGCTTTTTAAATTAAATAAAATTAATAATTTGATTCTTAAATTTCTTTTATTTTTTTGAAATGCTAAAATCTTTTAAATATTTTTTTTGATATTAAAAGAAGCTTCATCCCACTGTCGTGATAAATTGGACCGCCAATCTAGTTAATTAAATGATAGAGACTACGTTATAGTTAGCTTATTTATCAAAAGTCATCACCATTATTAATAGTGGTGATTAGTTGGTATACAATAAATAATAAATAAAAATGATATATTATTTAAAAAGCTAATTTTCATTCTTTAATTTTTATTTTTATTTATACTCTTCATAGCTTTCAATTAAACAATCACTAAGGCATGTATCTTTTATACAAATGTTTTTTTTTAAATTTTCTTGCATTTATTTATAAGTAAGAAAGTTAATTAATGAAAATACTTTTTAATCAAAATAACATTTAATTTAGTTTGTGGGAAAACATTTCTATTTGGAGAAAAAATATTTTTTAAAAGTTATATTTTTTTTAAATATCATGTTATTTACGGACAATATTAAATTTGTTTTTTAAACTTTTAATGGTTATATATTTTATTTTAAATTTTTTTTCTTTAATTTCATCGTATATTATCTTATTTAATTTAATTTTTATATAAATTTTAGTTTTATTTACTTTATTTTTTATTATTTTTAATTTAAATTTTTAATCTATGATGCTCATTATTCTTATTATTATTTATTTTATTTAAAATAATTTATTATATTATAATTATTATATTTTAATTTCATTATTTTTTAATTTTTTTATATATTATATTTGATCTTTATTTTTTTTTAATTTTTTTATATATTATATTTTTTTTATTTGAAATAATTTATAAAATTATTTTTTTTCAATTCCATTCATTCAACTTTTAAATGTATAATATTTATTTTTTTATTATTTTAATAAATATAAAAATATTATTAATTTATTTTCTAGTTTAATTATAATATAATTAAATATTAAAATATATTTTTTACTTTATTTTTTTTATGATACTATCAATTTAATTTAGTTTGTGGGAAAACATTTCTATTTGGAGAAAAAATATTTTTTAAAAGTTATATTTTTTTTAAATATCATGTTATTTACGGACAATATTAAATTTGTTTTTTAAACTTTTAATGGTTATATATTTTATTTTAAATTTTTTTTCTTTAATTTCATCGTATATTATCTTATTTAATTTAATTTTTATATAAATTTTAGTTTTATTTACTTTATTTTTTATTATTTTTAATTTAAATTTTTAATCTATGATGCTCATTATTCTTATTATTATTTATTTTATTTAAAATAATTTATTATATTATAATTATTATATTTTAATTTCATTATTTTTTAATTTTTTTATATATTATATTTGATCTTTATTTTTTTTTAATTTTTTTATATATTATATTTTTTTTATTTGAAATAATTTATAAAATTATTTTTTTTCAATTCCATTCATTCAACTTTTAAATGTATAATATTTATTTTTTTATTATTTTAATAAATATAAAAATATTATTAATTTATTTTCTAGTTTAATTATAATATAATTAAATATTAAAATATATTTTTTACTTTATTTTTTTTATGATACTATCAATTATAAAAAATAATTGGGAAAACATTTCTATTTGGAGAAAAAATATTTTTTAAAAGTTATATTTTTTTTAAATATCATGTTATTTACGGACAATATTAAATTTGTTTTTTAAACTTTTAATGGTTATATATTTTATTTTAAATTTTTTTTCTTTAATTTCATCGTATATTATCTTATTTAATTTAATTTTTATATAAATTTTAGTTTTATTTACTTTATTTTTTATTATTTTTAATTTAAATTTTTAATCTATGATGCTCATTATTCTTATTATTATTTATTTTATTTAAAATAATTTATTATATTATAATTATTATATTTTAATTTCATGCGGCCGTAACTACCGGACACAGCTTGCCGGTACGTACATGATGTTTTTAAATTTTTTTAATTTAATTTGATGGGTTAAATTAAAAAAATAAAAATATTATTTACATCTGCAAACTAGGTCAAGCCCTAGTGATGGAAGGGGTTTGAGCCCTGGAGTGCATGCCTGTCACCCCGCGTGCCTTACATGCCTATTGGGTTTGCAGGTATTCAGTGGACCGTGAGGATCTTACATACTAATTCAGTAGACCGTGGAGATTAATCGTAATACACGCAAATTAGTCGTAATGCACGCAAATTGACCCAAACACCCCACGTAAATAAAAAAAATAATAATAACTGAGTGACATCCATGGCATAACAACACATGGTGGAACAATAAGATTCAGATTTACAACCTGCATATTCAGCATTAGTTCCCATGAAACACTGTTCAGGTTCTTACCATGGGTATATTTGATTAAAAGGCATGAATTTCCAGCAAAATATGAAGATCAAATCATATATATATATATATATAAGGGATCCACGGATGTTTCATAAAATCGGATCCATTGCTCTTTACAAACTAACTATTGTGGTGAACAATGGACAATAACCTAGTACTGTATTTCAAAATACAATGAGGCATAAAAGAAAGCAGCAAAAGAGAAAAATGGAGATTCTATTCAATGACTTGTCTGCCATCAGCTCATGCCTTCTCAACCTAGGGCTACCAGTACCCATTAAGTGATACGAGTTTGGAAAGGGACCGAAAACCCTCGCATACACCATCTCTCTGAACATCCCAACAACTGGTTGCTGCAAACCGGACATTGTAGGGTCTCCAAGATTAAGCACGGGTGTTGGGGAAGCCTCTTCAAAACCGCCGTATGGATTAGAATTATAGTTATGGCTCCGGTAAGGATTACGATATGGAAGCCTCTGGCCGCTATTAGATGTGTTTGACACCACACCTTGAGCACCACAAGCTGATGGTCTGGGAGGAATGATCGTGCCCCTGTATGGTGTCTTGCCTTCAGCTTCGGTTGAGCCTTGGCCACGGCCATAGAGGGGAACCATGGTGGTGTGGGATATATCAGCCTTGCAAACTGGGCATTGCGGGTGCTCATCGGAGGCAAGCGAGGCGCTCTGGACGTGGAGCCACTTGTAGATGCAGGGCCAGCAGTAGAGGTGGCCACAGAGGGTGACTACTGGCTCATGTGCAAAGTCAAAACAGATATTACAGTCGAAACAACCACTGGGATTTTCCGAGTCAGTTGCCGCACTTGAAACTGATTTCCATCCCTGGGTAAAATAATTCTCAAATTCCATAGATTCTCACGTTCTTCTTTAACTCTGAAATAGGCAACAGAAATCAAACCATATCAGTAACAAAATTCCTCTCATCATCCAAGCACAGGTACCCACTAACTCATAACCTTCCAATGATACAAACTATGAAACTCTACTGAGAAAGAATACAAAATCAGTAAAGATACCACTTGCGCGTATGAGCATGTAAAAACATCTAGATAGGCACAAGATATATGCCACCAGCGAAGCAATTATGATGTCTGAACTAGAATAAGTAAAGGCACCAAACAAAAGGTCCCCATGGCCCACCCCATCGTTTTGTTTTTCATACCAAAGGCCAGAGCTCCAAAAAAACGCAGGTTTAAGGACCCCACAACTTTAGATTTCTTATCAGATAAGGACTCCACCCTAACAATAATTACGGGGAGAGCGTGAAACATATCCATTCCTGGTTCCCATTTTGTTTTTTGTTTTTCTATTCTCGGTAAAATTCCGTTTAAAAAAATTCCCATTTCATCTCTCTTGATAAAGCAACGGCAAAGTATGGCCAGACCTTCTAGCAAGAAACTTCGCAGCTTTTCAATGAGAGACGTTAAAATCCATCCTTCTAGATAATTCTAAATCTTTGTTAGACAATCAAATAGGTTAAAAAATAAAGTGAACTTTTCGAAGACAAAATCTAACCAGGAATGAAGAAATACAATTTGAACAAGGATAAGTTCAAGAAGAGCCCAGTTCCTCGCGAGAGCGTCTCAATCAGCAAAGACAGTCTCAAATATAAAATATATTTAAGAAGTAGACTCATATAAATCAGATATTCAAGCATTGAATTCTTGTTAAATCATAAAATCAATGACAGACAAAACCACAAAACAAAAAATAAAACAATTTTGCTTTCGATTCAGAGAGCTGACAAGAACTTCAAGACAATCAGTGCTTTTATGTCAAGGTGATCGCTCACATCAACAAAGAACTGAAAAGAATAAGATTAAGTTCCTTTCTAGGACCGATCTTCACTTAAATTAAGAACGACACAGCATCTCTAGAACTAAATAAATTATGATTATCCATGAACATCCATCCAACATACCTAATTACCAGACTACCAGTACCGGGTCCATTACGAACCGCCATAATTTTTCACTATTAATACCTTCATCAACCACCAATCATCAAAGCTATCACCACAGGGCCATTTTAAGCTCAACCAATGAATTTTTTTTTATGCGCTTAGAAAACGGGAAACGAAAAAACTGTGACGCACACAAAGATGATTGCATACAAGGGGAACGCACATTTGTAAGATCGCAGAGAGGGAGAGACGGCAGGATAACAATGGTTGGATGACTATCAATGTCCCAGATGGTCATATGTTTCAAGATTTAGTGTAATTAACAATATATGAAAAAAAAATCTATATAATTGTAGTTTTTGTTTTTAAGATGCCAAGAAAAGCAGTCGAATTGAACCTCAAAATTGTCTAATTCTTCACGTCCACACTTCAAACCTTCAAATTTGAAGCAGACTTTACTGCTTCTACACACACAAAAAAGAAGTAAATTTCCCAACCTTACTTTTTTCTAATTAAGCTTAGAAATTGCCAATTTTCCCTCATTCACCTTGCCTTTCCCCCTCCCTTTCCCAGAAACCAAACAAAACACAAGATACAAGACAAAAAGGGGGAAAAAAGAAGAAATGACAACAAAAATCAGCCAAATTAACGAGATCCAGGACACAAACACAACTCAAAAATCCAAACAAACAGAGAAATGAAGCATTAAGAGTAAACAAAGAACAAAAAAATTCACGAATCCTAGAAAGCTGACTAACCAAAGATTACCTGAAAAAAAACTAAAGGCAAAATAACAGTGTGTTGTTTGGCTTATTTAAAATAAGAGGATTCGAGGAAGCTTTAATGGAGATTTTGCAGATAACAGAGAGACAGAGAGATTTTTGCGCAGGGGACTGGTTAAGCGTTGTTGCCGGTGTGGGGTTTATATAGCAGTGCCGGTAATCTAATGCCCCCTGTTTTCTTTTCGACTATTAGGTGGGGTTTTTGACATATGTGGATCCTGCCTCGATGTTTTCCATTCCCTCCTTTAACTCTATAAATTTAACCTTTAAAGATATTATCTAAAACATTTATTTTTTTATGAATTTGGTGAATTGACGCAGAGACTGCGTATTTAAGATCATTTAAAAAGAAGAATGAGCGTGTGTTGAGGTATAAAATGATTAAAAAAGACTCCCATTTAATTAAAAAAATTCTTTTATTGACAAATTAAGAATCCTGTTATGGTACTGTATCATGCAGTCTTAAAAGAAATAGGGTTTTATTTAGTTTATAATTTAGATCCCTTCTTTTTAGATTAGGGTTTCTAATTTTTATTTCCACATGTTTTTCAAAATATATTTTTTAAAAATATATTAAAATAACATTTTTTTAAATATTTTTAAATGATTTTTACATGCTAGTGTTAAAAATAAATAAAAAATCATTTTAAAATACTTTCAAAGAAAATAATATCTTAAAAAAACATTTCATATCACAGTATAAAAAACAGAATCCATTTGAACTTCTACCTGTCATTTTACCCAATCTCCAACAAAATCAGCCAAAAGTCACCAAATAAAAAAGCTTGTTGCGTGTATTATCACCATGTCATTACCAATCCAGAATATATAAAACTATGCAAATAATTTGATTATTATAGTTTATTTTTATATTTTAAAAAATTAAAAACATTATTTTAAATTAATATTTTTTAATAAATTTAATGTACTAATATTAAAAATCACCCTGACCAACCTAGAATTTGTAAAACTATGTGAATGATTTGATTATTATATCGTGTGTTTGTTTTTATATTTTAAATTAATATTTTTTATTGTATTTTTAAATAATTTTGATATGTTGATGTCAGAAATATTTTTTAAAAATAAAAAATTATTTTAATATATTATTAAATAAAAAATATTTTTAAAAACAATTAAAACCATACTTTTAAATAGATTTTTAATTTTAATTAGTAGGAATTTCAAACTAGATCCATATGATTAATTATTGCATAAGAATTTGACCCTGAGCCTCCATTCATTTGATATTAAACGGTGATTTCATTGAGGTATTAAAAGTTTTATTTTTTATAAGTATTCATTTTTTTAAAAAGCATTAATTTAATGTTTTTGCAAATGATTTTCAGTTTTTCCAACATCCTTGTATTAAAATCATTGAAAAGGATATTCTAAGAAAATATTAATTTATATTTTAAAAGGCATTAAAGCTACAATATATACTGAATTATGCGATTTATGTAATAGACCAGATCTTCTGATTTTTTTCGAGTGGAGGGGGAACAAACTAATTTTGTTGAAAATAAAAGAATCATAATTTAAATGGAGACCTTGTCTTTTGAATTTGACAAAACAACCTGAGAAATAAAGGGTTTCGACGGCGGTATTCTGGCAAGGCATCAATGGCCTGCTTCTAGAGAAGCTTTTCGTGTGTTTTGTAGTTAAAATAGTTTTAAAATGATATTAACTTTCATAGTTGGGCCCGATTTGATTGTTTTTATCGTATCGTTAAATTTAAATACTAATTATATAAATATAGCTGTTTTTTTTATATTTTAAAAAAATAAAAACATAAAAAGGTTTTTATTTTTTATTTATTTTAAATTAATATATTTTTAAGTTTTTCAAATAATTTTGATGTGTTGATTCTAAAAATATTTTTTAACAAATAAAAAATACTGTATTGTAATCTAAAAAATAATTATAACTATATTATTAATGAAAAACATAAAAATACAAAATAAATTATTTGGATTTTTTAAAAAATAAATTAGCGGGGCAAATTGAAAAGGATAAAAAAAAAACCTACAGGTCAAAAAGAAAATGACAAAATAATACAATCTTAGCCTTTCTCAATTGTGAAAGGTACCATCTTAAAGATGACGTTATTCCGAAACACGATAATTTGTCCTGTCAGAATTCAAAGCACGTTAGATAAATGCATCAATGTATTTTATGCTGTGAACGTTAAAAAATTGAGTTTGTAATATAGTTTTTACTTGTTTTTTAATTGTATTTTATAAAAAAAATCTAGCAAACACTGTTTACTTTTTATATTTTAAAAGTATTTAAAAAAATATTTTTTTTTATTTTTTTCTCTATTTCAAATTAATATTTTTTAATATTTATAATGTGTTAATATCAAAAATAATTTTTTAAAAAATAAAAAATATTTTAATACAATTTCAAGTAAAAATTACTATAACCATACTTCCAAACACAACAACCAAATATTTTATAAATATTTTTATTTTTTTCTATGCTTCAAATTAATGTTTTTTAGTATTTTATATAAAAAATAATTTAAAAAAAAATATATATATATTATTTTAATATATTTTCAAATAAAAAACACTTTAATCATATTTCCAAACACAATAACATAACATTTTATAAATATTTTTTACCATACATAAACTTCAATCACAATTTTTATCGTAAATTTATTTAAATTTAACTAACCGCATATAGCTATAATTTTTTAAAACCTATTTTTTTCCTAATCATAACTACAAATATTAATGTAAAAACAAATAAACACAGTCTTACCTTGTAACATTTTGGGATCAAGATATATCATTAAAATAAACTCGGCCGCTCTTCTTTTTCCCTGCAAGAACATGACTCTCCCTGTCTCTGAAATTGACATATAAAAAAGTCATGGTTTGAAAATATAATATTTACTTGGTATAGTAACTACCATAATCTTAAACAATGCTATTTTACAAAAATAAAAAATTAATTAATTTTTGTGTGCATAATGGCACAAACTCTCTGATATCTAGCAGACTGGACTTTCTTGGAAAGAACCTTGCGGTGGATTCGAAGCTTCTTGTTTCTCTTTCATTGCCCATCACTACGCCGCAACTACCGATGCTCCTAAAGGGACATTGGTAACGACGATATTAAATGAGGATTATATTATAATGTTCACCAAAGATATGTATATATAAAAAATCCTTGTATGGAAATTAACCATAATAGAAGGTATTCTATTCTGCTGAATTGATGGTCAAGTTTACAGAGATAATTATTTTTTAAAGTATTTTTTATTTAAAAATATATTAAAATATTTTTTTTATATTTTGTATAATTTATTTTTAATATCAACATATTAAAATAATTTAAAAATAAAAAATATTTTCCACCCGTACTGCCACGGCACGGGTTCTTTTAAACATCTAACATACGCCCACCACACATGGTCAATGGCTGGTCCCTTTTGCCCGAATGTACAAAAGAGTCCCTCACAAGCAACATAATGGAGCTAAATCACCAAATTTCCCATGACAAATGTGTAATATGGCATGAACAAGTGAGATTTGATATACATATATAAAATCACTATAATCTAAATCGAAATGATTTTCTTCTGGTTTTTAGCCCTGAATAAGTGAGATTTTGAAAGCATCGGCCATCGGCATTTGCTAAGACCAGTAGAATTAGAAACTTAAAAATCAAGTCATTCTACGTGGATCAAAC